ACCCCCCCCCCCCCCCCCCGCCGCAGAAACCAGCACCAAACCCCACTCCAAAAAAGTCTCCGTTACGCCAAGAAAAGCATTTTTTCCTCCTTTTAATAACTTATTGAGCGCTGACACAGCCCTCCCGGGGCTGCTGGAGCCGGGAGTCGATGCAGGAGCGCTCTCACCATGCTCCAGCTCCGCCTGGAGCATCGCTGAACTCTCCTGTGAGGGGTAAAGACAGACGGCAGCACGGATTCCAGACAGACAGACGGACTACCCCAGCCTGAGGTCGGTGGCTCAGAAAAATCCACCCGCTCTGCCACGTTTTCTGCCTTTGCTCCTGGAGATTTCTGCCTGGAGAGGGTCAAGCCCCGCGGCTCGCTCCCGCAATGCCGTCAGCGCAGCCGGGGCGAGAGGGGGAAGGAGCGGGCCGCCCTTTCTGGGGCTTTAGGGCAAAAAATCCGCCCTCAACGGCGTCCCAGGCGCCTGGCTGCCCTCAGCTCGGTCCCAGACCCTTCCCGTGCCACGCTTCCCAGGGCAGCGGCCACCTCCCATCGCTCCGCACCTGCTGCCACGACCCGCACGGCCTTTCCCGAGCCCCCAAACCAGAGGCGGTGGTGGCCAAGCACCCTCCGCGAGCGGAGCTCCCCGTGGCACGTCTGCCTCCGGTTCAGATCAGTCGGGCTTCCCCCTCCAGCTCAACCTGCAGGTCGCAAACGCCGGTGAAGTCGATCTCCTCGCCGGCTCGGCTGGCGCCCGCCGGGGCCGCCGGAGGCGGAGGGTGGGGAGGGCAGCTGAAGGCCGGCTGCCGCGGGGTTTTGGTTCACGTAGGCCTCCAGGGATTTCAGGAGCTGCTTCGGTTTCTTTTTGGTGGATAATTCCAGCTCTGGGGAGGCCAGAGGGAAACACGTGAGGAGAGAGCGAGGTCTGGGCGGTGCCGGGGACGCAGCGCGCTCCTGGGGTAAGGTTTTGACCCGTGTATTACTTCTGGCGGCCCAGCGTGTCCCCTCGGGAAAGGCAACGATTTCGTCGTGCTTGGGATGAGAGCACGGAAAGCTCCGCGCCAAAACCCCCAGCCGACCTCAGCATCAGCCCGAGCCCCCCGAGATTCCCCCCGGGAGGGAAAGCCCGGGGAGAGCGGATGGAAGCGGAGCCAGACCGCGACAGCTGGACCCCGATTTAAGAGGGAGCCATTAGCGCGGCGCAGCCGAGCGGCTCTGTTGACACCAGGCTCCTCCAGAGTAAATAACCTCGCTGGTTAATTTAGTGCTCGCTGCGAAAAGCACGCCGTCGGCGACTCCGCTACAAACAGGGCTTACGCAACCACCCTGCGCGACGCGAGCGAGCCCGGGGAGCGAGAAACATCCCTGCTGTCACCCACCTCGTGCCACCGCGACACAGCACCCTTTGAACGCGGCGGGCGCTTCCACGGGTGCTCACCTTTACGATTTGAGATGCAAAATGGCGGGGAGAGGCACCCCGCAGGGCACTCGGCTAAAGATTGCTGAAAATCTGGGTGTGAGATTAAACGATGAACGGTCGGGGCTTTCTGGGCGCTGGGGCTGGGCTCCGCAGGACACGAACGGGCTGAGAACGCCCCGGGTTTGTCCTCCGGGCCCCGGGTGATTTTCCTCGGCCAGGGAAGGAGGGGAAAGCGCGGGGAAACGCACCCTTTAGGAGGAAGCCGGAGTCGGCGACAGTCTTGTGCTGCCATTTCCAGATGCGGTAGAGCTGCAGAAAGGCCGCCGCGTACAGGTCGTTCAGCACGGCGATGACTTGCTGCCTGCGGTTGCACTCCCTGAAAGGGACGGAGAGGGGCTCAGCCGCCGTCCCGAGCCCCCGGGGAGGGACCCCGCTAGCGGGAACAAGGGACAGATGGCTTTTGAGGACCCCAAAACCCCACCCAGCCCGGCTACGGAGCCATCGGCCACTCCCAATCTCACCTGGAGAGACGTTCCTCCCTCAGGGCCTGGAGGACGATGCGGGTGATGTTCACGGACATGATGCAGAAGGGGAAATTCTGCAAAAGAATGAGTGTTATCGCAGCTCGGCTGGAAAAAGCCTCCTCTCTTGTGGCACACGGAGGCGCCCAGACACCTCCGGCCCTTTCATGCCACATCCACACGGCCCCAAGCCTGGGGGACAGCGGCTGCAGGCAACAGATCCACGTAGCAGGATAATCACGCTACGGATACAGGCTTAGATGGATGCTGTGGGTCAAGCTGAGCTTATATCCAGGCTGAAACCCAACCACTTCCAAGACCAAAATGCCAAGTTTAAGGAGACGGGCTCCACTCGCTCCCATTTTCAGGCTGCGCTGCTCTTCGCCCGCTTCTCCGGCCCTTTTAACCTGCACAAGTTGAGCTCCGAGCCAGGATCCCAGGAGCAAATCTCCAGTCTCCACTGGGATGCTAAAAATCTCATTCCCAGCATAAAGCCAACACCGGGAGCTTGGCTCCCGCCTCCGACGGGAGCTTTCTGGGCACCACCTTCCTCCCCTTGCCAGCGTGAGGGGGATTAAGCAGCAAAAAAAGTCAAGCCCTTCCTCTGAAGGGAAGGATTTTGTGCTTCCCTTCCCCGCGTGTCAGAAATAAAGGGGTAGGCACCCCCGCAGGCAGCGAGCGAGGAAGGGGAAGGACGTGCCTGGGTTTCGTGCTGGGACAGCTGGAAGATCTCCTGAGCCAGCGGCAGCGTCTGAGAGTCCATGACGAAATACAGCATCTGCATCAGGCCCAGCATCCCCGTCCCTCGCAGGTCGGTCCCGGGATCCGCACCTGGAGGAGCGGGACAGCCCGGTGAAGCCAGGGACAGCCTGGAGTCGCTCTCTGGTCACCCCCCCGCTTCCACGGGCTCTTTATACCCCGTCCCAGCGTTTCAAGAGCAGGGGAATCCCAGCGATTCCCTTCAGGAACCACATCCCAAGGGAAAGCTTTCGGGGAATTTCCCTAACCAGAGCCGAACGGGTGCCGCAGCCTCTTTCGCGTGGGCACCAACAAACCCTTGCTCTCCCACCCACGCGCCCGTTCCCACACCTTCTCTAGGAATAAGTCGCCCCACGCTCTACCCGCCCCAGGGCTGGTAAACGAACGCTTCGAACCAGTTGCGCGCTCGCCAGGGCGGAGGAGCGGGAGCCATTCCCCTCCTCTTGAGGGTTTCAGGCTCCATTAAAACCCGGCCTATTTAACTCGTGAGTCAACCAGCCCGAAACCTCCTGCGAGGCCGCACGTGACAGCTCTAATCACGCTGTTTTTCTTACACAGCCGAGGCTGAAAGCAACCTGCGACGCAACCTTAGCGACAGAGCCCCGACCCGTGCCTCGCTAATAACCCAGCCCTCCCGAGACGGCTCATTAGCCGCAGAGATCGCTCGCTAATGAAGAGCATTAATGGCCTGGGTAAAGCGGTTACGCCAACTTCTTGTTATGCCCACGCCAGCTGGACACGGGCAACCGGGGCAGCAGGTATCGGTGTTATCTGGCCAGCCAGTCCAGATGTTGTACTGGTCATGACAGCTGGCTGGGGCAGCAACAGATCTGCTACGAAACCAGGGCTCAGTGTCGGGGCCGCTCCTGTTTAATATCTTTATCAACGGTCTGGACGAGGGGACCGAGCCACCCGCAGTACGGCCGCAGACGACACCAAGTTGGGCGGGAGCGGTGATCTGCGGCCGCCCCTCAAATGCTGTGCTCGGCGCTGGGCCCCTCACCCCAAGGCGGCCATGGAGGGGCTGGAGCGTGGCCAGAGCAGGGCAGCGAGGCTGGGGCAGGGGCTGGAGCCCAAGGCTGGGGAGGGAACTGGAACAGGACGAGAGGGAACGGCCTCAAGCTGCACCAGGGCAGGTTTGGGTTGGATATTGGGAAAAACTTCTTCCCCCAAAGGGCTGTCAGGCCCTGGCCCAGGCTGCCCAGGGCAGGGGCTGAGTCCCCACCCCTGGAGGTGTTTAAAAACCAGGCAGACGTGGTGCTCAGGGACGTGGTTTAGTGGTGGCCTTGGCAGCGCTGGGTTAACGGTTGGACTTGATGATCTTAAGGGTCTTTCCCAACCTAAATGATTCTATGGAACGGCAGCAGGGATGGCAGCTGCGTGAGGGAGAGGGAATGAGCAGCAAACCCCTTGCACTGCCCCTGGATCCCACCTCCGGAGGAAGGAACGGGACCAGCGCGCTCCCTCTTGGCAAAGGTTTGCTCCAGAGGTCTCTCCCTCTGCCCTACCTTGAAAGCCGAGCTCTTCCCAGTGCACCCCGTAGCGCGGGCAGCCCAGCCTGGAGTGGGTTAGCTTCTTGTAAATGGTCTGCAGGATTCTCATGTGCACTCTCTCGTTGTTGTCCAAACCACCTGGCAGAGAGAAAACACCCCTCGGCATCTAAAAACCACCGCTGGGCATCCCTGCCCCGCTGCCCTTGAGTGCCGGCACAGAGCCACGGCGGGGAAAGAAACGGCCGCCAGCGTAAAGCCAGAGCCCAGCTGGAAATGAAACCCTGCAGCCAAGAATGGCTTACAGCAACAAGGAGAACACCCCGGCTGTGTTTGTGCTGCTGGAGGGGAGAAGGGAAGGAGAAAAAAAGCCTTAGAGGTGCAGAAACACAAGTAATGCCGCACCCCGAGCCCCCCTCGAGTGGCTCCCCACGAAGCTCTCGCCATAACGGCGACGCCGGCTGGGCCAGCGGCTCGCGGCGGTGACACTCACACTGTGCCATGGCCAGAGCCAGCTCCCGCTCTCCCTGCAGCTGCGGCTGGAGCCGGGGAGGGCCGAAGAGGAAGTGAAGCAGAGCAGCCAGGCCTTGCCTGCGCGCCGTCGCCTGGACTTTCTTCTGTGGAGGAGAAAAACATGCAAAAAAACGGTCGGGGCCGGTCCCTCGGGGAATTGGGCAGGAGAGAAACCCGTGGGCGAGCTGGGAGGGACGGGATCACGCGACGAGCCGA